AGAAGGCTGAGACAGGGCATCCCTGGACCACAGTGTCTTATCAGACTAGCAAAAATGGCAAGCTCTAGGTTCATTGAGACTTTGCCTAGAGATATAAGGGAGGGTAAGCAAAGAAGACACCCAATATTAATCTTGGGCTCTCTCTCGGGCACCTGTACCCACATATATGAGCACATACACAAACATGTTTAGTACACACATGTGCAAAATCACTTATTAAATGAAACTAGTAATATTATCATCTGGCTATACACTGAAGCAAAGAAGTAAAAAGCTATGATATAGATAAGTAAAGTAATTATGAGTGTTTTAAAATACAGATATCTATTGTACTGTGGTACAACCTAAAGCTTTTACAGAAGTTGTACATCAGAAATGGATGCTGTCAAAGCTCAGTTTAGTCTAGGTGTAGACACTGGCTATAACACTTGCTTGCTGACATTGCACTTTCAACCATATTAAATGGCAATGCCACTAACTGTTAGGCTGGATATTCAGACTGCAGTGTTAGACAATAATACTTCCATTTCATACTGGGATTGTTGTGAAATAACACATGAAAATGCCTTTACCACAAGTGTACAATGGTAGTGGTTATTTTTGTGACCCCTACCTTACCCTGTGGATTCTCAGGACTGGCAAGATGACTCAGCAGATAAAAGAGCTTGCTACATAAGCCTTGCAATTCACATTTCAGACCTAGGACAGATACGTGAACAGATGGAAAGGAGAGCACTGACTGTATATAAAATTGTCCTCTGCCACATACACAACATGGTACATGTATTCCTATACACATATACATGTGCACACATACACACAATAATGATAATGCTATTATTATTAAAATAGATTTTCTGAACTGCCAGACAACACTTGGAATGGTGTGGTGGTTTGAGTAGGAATGGCCCCCATAAACTCATATTTGAATATCTCAGCACTGGGAAGTGACATTATTTGAAAGGATTAAATGGATTAGGGGGTGTAGCCTTGTTTGAGGAAGTGTGTCACTGGTGGTGGGCTTTGAAGTTTTAAAAGCCCATGCCAAGCCCAGAGTTTCACTCTCTGCCTACAGATCAGGATGTAGTTGTCAGCTACTGCTCCAGCATCTGCCTACACACCACCATGTTTCCTGCCAGGAGGGCCATGGACTAACCCTCTGAACCTGTAAGCAAGCCCCCAGTTAAATGCTTCCTCTAATAATAGTTGCCTTGGTCATGGTGTAACATAGTTTCAGCAGTTCAACATTGCAGATCACAATTCTTCAGCATCTTTTTTACTTTCACTCTTAGTGATTTTCATTATGTGTTATGGAAATTTCCTTATGCCTTTTCTTTTGGGAAATTTTGTGTGGGCTTTGGTGGAGGATGAACTGTATAAAATGGCAGTCTCTTTAAACCAAATAATTCTTTGGTGGAAAAAATCCCCACCACTGTGGAACTGTACAGCGTGGTACCTCTGAGAACTCCCACAGAGGAATCCCCACTGTGCTCCCCCCACATTACACCAAGAATAGAGAAATTAAAGATTTACTAACTGAGCACACCTGTCTCTAAGAATGAAAAGCACACAATCAAGAGAAACAATGGACCCAGATCCAAAGCCTAAGGCCATTAAGGGAAAGAGTTCAGTTAATAAATACAGAATGGTGCCCAGGATTGGTCTCTTACTGGAAGTTTGCTCCACAGGGAACATATTCTGTTAAGAAGTTAGACTGGCTTGATCTCCCTCTGCTATATACAGGAGTATACATTGAAGAAATCAGGATGGTATGGTATCATGGAAAAGGAGTAAGATGTCAAGACTTCCACTTTTGAGAAGGTATGAGGAGAACAGGCTCATATTATAGGACTCACAGAGGAATGCAATTAGGAAACAGCTCAATGCTTGCTGTGCTCATGGTACAAACACTACATCATGCCCCTTGAGGAATGAAAATTGTTCTTATGGGTTTATTTCTCATGACTCAATGTCTGACCCCTTCCTGACCACAAAGGCTGAGACTGTGCAGCAGGAAGTATAAGAGGGCACCTGGCGGGGCTACTGAACAGTAAAGGACAATAGGCGTTTAGATTGTGGCTAAACTTACTGTTTTCTGCTTCAAGAATACAGTAAGAAAAATGATAACTGCTTTTACCCTAGGATCATTGAGTCTGCTTTCAACATTGCTTGTGGTTAAACTATATGCAATTAGATAGCATATAAAATATAGCCTATTTTCAATAAATGGGCAGCCACCTGATTCCCCCTCAGGTCATGTCAACCTCCCTCCTTAGCAGACTACACACCCTCTCTTTGGGACCTGAACCCTGCTGGAGTTGGACTCTGGCAATGGCACCTCCTCACAGCAACAGAGACTAAGACAGATGGTAAGTTTGCTAAGTTAAGGAACACAGATCAGACTAGGTTATTTAACAAGTCAGGATAAGTAACGGTGTTTCAAATATCCAAGAAAAAAAGTGGATTCTCTGGTTAAAAAAAAAAAAAAGAAAGGATTTAAAGATTCATCCATCCTTATAGAGATATAGGCTTACATTATACATGCCTTTCAATAACAGCAAAGTCCTGGGGTATTGATGTGGGATGTCTTTCTATATGCTGTAAATATGTTTTATTATCATTGGTTAATAAAGGCGCTGATTTGGCCAACAGCCAGGCAGAAGAGAGCCAGGCAGGAAATCCAATCAAAGATAAAAGGAAAAAGAAGGTAGAGTCTGAGAGACAACAACAGCAGCTGGGGAAGTAAGAAGTGAGGTAACAAGCTACAAGCCTCACGGTAAAATATAAACTAATAGAAATGGGTTAATGTAATTATAAGAGCTAATTAACAATAAGCCTGACTTAATAAGCCAAACAGTTTGTAATTAATATTAAGACTCTGAGTGGTTATTGGGGAACTGGAGGGCAGGAGAGAAACTTCCAGCTACAGGTAAATATACATATACTGATAATTTACAATTATAAAAATTAAATCATTTTGTATTAATATCAGTGTGTTATATATGTACTTGAGTGTACATAGGCTTGCATGTGTGTGGGTGCATGTATATGTGTGTAAATATGGAGGCCAGATGCTGACAGCAAATTTCTTCCTTGATCACTCTCCAACACACACACACACACACACACACACACAGGCATCTCTCACTTGAATAGCTAGACCAATCAACTAGTCTAGCTAATCAACCTGCTCCAGGATCCCATCTTTGCCTCCTGCAGGCCACTATGTCTACACGACTCTTTGGTGGGTGCTGGAGACAAAACCCTAGCCCTCATGCTTGCATGGCAAGAACTTTTACTAAGTCATGCCACGATGCTGTAATGTGTTACAAATATCTGTTATACTCTGCTACACCACAGAACACTAAAAATGAGCTTGCAAATCCTTTTTATTAGCTTTTTTCTGATATGAACTAAAGCAATAATTCCATTTATTAAAGTGTTTTGGTAGCCAAGAAACTTGCAATATTTAGAGAGATACACCTAGATTCTTGAGAGCTGCTTGCTGAATATTTCAGTGTTCTGAAACCATACTGTCTTTAAATTTAAAATTTCTAGTTTGTATTTATTTTACTACTTCAACATTTCATCAATGAAGTTGTTGCTACCACTTTTTGGCCTTGTGGATTAGAGCTTTACATTTTCAACTACAAAAATATCCATTATTTAATGATTTTACTTTTATCTCATTTCACCTATCCACATTTCCAATTATACCCAGGGTGGTTTATTCTGCTTAAAAATGTTTCCAACTAGCCTTTGACCAAAAACTTTGTACTTGGCTTTTTTCCTCTGAATGCTTTAGTGAAACTATTCTAGAAGACTGAGAGAACTGAAGAGAGCATGCACGGTGACAAGGTACATAAGGTGCTGACTGTCACACCCGAGGGCCTGAGCAGAAAGGAAGAACATGCTAGGGGCTTCCCCATGCACTCTGTAACATACATACTAATGTGTACTTGAGGACATGCACATACACACAAATAAATCAATAACTATAATTTCAAAATAATTTAAAAATACGATAGCAGAAGCAGTGTTATTTACTGGAAAGAAATAGTAACTAACCAAATAGTATTATGTTTTAAAATAAATGGTGTTCTTTGTAATTTTATTTAACAATTAGGCTTCCTTTCACCAATAAAATGAAGGTTGAAAAGTAAAATTATTTCAGAGAAAGAATTCTATTAAAAAAGGAAATGATGGCTTTTCATTAGTCTTCACCGTTGCTTAGGGAGGACCAAGAGATTTCAGGCCACAGATTGTCACCAATAGCACATAATCAATCATTAGTTAACACAGCTTCCATTTTCAAAGCCCTTTGCCATTATTGCATTGATTAAAGCTATATATTTCTATGACTACTGCCTCCTCCCCACTCCCCAACCTGCCCCAACAAAAAGCAAAATATTCTCTAGGCAGGGCCTGCTCTGTCTTATCACATTCACCCTCTGTTAGGACCATTGCATAGAAATGTCTTTCCTGGCACCTAAGTAGCTACACTAAATTCTCTTGGACACAACATCAAATTTTATTTAAAGCAACAAACCATGTTTGTGTTTGTTTTAAGCTATGAACATCTACAAATAAGGTCTGAAAGAAAAATTAGTCATCTGCCTACCAATGGTTCCTGTGTCTCTGTATGTCTTTTTCAATAACAAAGCTTAAAAAAAAAAAAAAAAAAAAAAAAAAGATGCCTCTAAATTATGTCACAATTACAAGAACAAATGAATGCAAAGTTGCAACATATTAGCAAACACAATTTGGAACTGAAAGTAGGAAGCTTCATAACATAATTACCATTGTGGGTCAGTCCATGTAAATTACTTAGCACGATACTCTAAGAATTATTACAAAACCAACTAGATAGAACAATTCAGATGTAAGTAAAAATGGATCTTTAAATGCTATAATGTTAATTATGGTCACTCAAAGAGGGTATAACTAGGAGATTTTAGACAAATCATCAAAATTTGTAAATAAAGGGATATATCACTTACAAGCTGCTCTGATTTCACACCATATAACTGGATGGTCTTCGCTACATTCTTTGACACAGCTAATGTGAGGTTTGCATCAACAGCAGCTACGTTGAGTTCACTAGAGAAAACAAAAGCAGGTATCAATTATGAGTAACATAATTCATCAACAAAGTAATGCCTGGCATAGAACCTGAAACCCAATAAGAAAGATGCTGAATCTTTACTGATTGCTTCCAGGAATTGGTTACAATGTTTCATTTTTCTCCTAAATGCAGCATTAGGAAAAAAGGGTTTGAGATATCTTTGTTAATGATCAGTTTCACAGTAATAAAAGCAAGCCACGTGTGGGCTCAGTCTGTGATTAAGAGAGTAAATTGTGTATAGACTGAAAGTAGCACTCTTGCTAATACTGATAAGTACAATTAGCAGCACTGCATGTCACAGACATCTGCAAGGAAATGACAGCTACTGAATAGAAATGATGACCTTGGAGAGACATAGGCTAAACATATAAATTACATATGACATATAAGGACACTTGGGTTCTGTATAAACTATGCCAGTTAATTCTGCTTTGTAAAGAATAACTTTAAATATATGGATAGATAGGACTATAGTTTTAATGTTTAAAATTTTAGATTTTTAAGTATTTCTCTGTCATGTTCACTGTCGACTTTAACAGTGAACTGATAAGATATTTGATTTGACTGTAGAAGGAAAGAGGACATTTTTCTCAAAAGCCATGGAAAGAATATCAAGAGTTAAATATCTCATGAAAACCATGAAGTATATTAAAATGTGGCATTTGCCAGATTAATTTTTTTTTAAAGAAACTAAAGAAACCACAAGGCCCTGTCTGGCTTTAAGTACTTGGGAGACAGAGACAAGCAGATCACTATGAGTTGGAGGTCAGTTTGGTCTATATAAAGAGTTCTAGAACAGTCAGGGCTATAAAATGACCCTGTCTCAAAATAAAAACAAAACCGAAACTGAGTATTTGAAACACTGGTATATAGTATATATGACAAAATGCCCTTTCACGTGATAGTGAAACTGCTCACTTTTACATTTTATACACACTGGCATAAGCACCCTTCTTCAAACCACTGTCACCCTTGATGATCAACCTCCCTAGCGTTTACAGACTAGGTAACAGAAACTAAGTTGGATACAGCACCGTGTCTACTACTACAAGCACACTAAGAAGGTTAAAGTTACTAAGATAAGAAGCATACCGTCAAGACTTCATCAAGTCAAAGTACATGGTGAGAGTATGTAGTCAGTTGAAGCATTGTACAGGTACAGTCACAGCTGCAGGTATGCATATACATATCACATCTGTAAAGTGCCATCTTCACATTTGTGGACTGAAAGAATTTAAACACTCTATCTATATCACCACTCAGTATTTTTATTCCTCAAAATGTCAATTATGAAAGTACAGATTGACTGTTATGAAAACTTGCTAGCTACAGAAGGGAGTGTATTTCTAACCTGTAATCTGACTGGAATACTCTGAAACCACAGTGTAACTGCATTTGTCTGCAAGTGCTCAAGAAAAACCTCCCTTTGTAGTTTATAAACCATTCCCATTCACTTGGAAAGCTTAAACTAGTGCACTTAAGTATGTTGTGGAAAATTACTTAAACTATATAAAGATGTGTTACATTTGTTTATGCTGCATTTGTTCAATTATGTAAAGATGAGTTACTGTTTTACCTTGTCTGCTTCAGGCACCTAATTGGCTTAATAAAAATGTGAACAGCCAATAGCAAAATAGTAGAGGGATAAGTGGGGCTGGTCAGCCAGGCAGCTGCTAGCCAGTCAGATGCGGAGTAGGTCAGAGAGAATGAAAGAAAGGTGAAAAGCCCCAAGGCAAAACATAGATGAAGAGAAACAGTTAAGTTATAAGAGCCAGTAGGGCAAGTATAAGATAAGGCTGGCATTTATAATTAATAATAAGTCTCTGTGTCTTCATTTGGGAGTTGGTTGGTGGCACAAAGAAAAGCCTACTATACAGGGAGGGTAATCAGAATTATTAACCCCAGTTCTGTCATGAAGATGAAGTGCTTTCTGGGTTAAAACCTCTGTTTGTCTTTGATTTTCAGTTTGTACAATTATTTAGAGTTGTTTTCCTAAATAATACTAGGTAGAAAGTTAGTGGAGTCTAAAGAATAAAGAGCTATATTTAATTTCTTGATAGGATACAAATTAATTATAGCAGATAGTGTGTGTGTGTGTGTGTGTGTGTGTGTGTGTGTGTGTGTTGAGATAGGGTTTTTCTGTAGCTCTGGAACCTGCCCTGGAACTTGCTCTATAGACCACACTGGCCTTGAACTCAAAAGTGATCCAGCTGCCTCTGCCTCCCAGGTGCTAGGATTAAAGGTGTGCACCACCACTGTCAGGCTACAAAAGATGCTTTTTGCAATCTACACATTGTGTCTACATTTAAATGGCTTTACTGATTAGAATCTCAAACACTATGTGAACACTCACTCATTATAAAACTCCATTTAGTTGGAAGCCTAATTACTTGAATAATTTATTTTGAGGTACATTTAAAGTGTACCACCATGGCAAATATGGCAGACAGCCTGACATGCTATAATACAAGAAACACATACCTTGCTATAGTTTTAATGATGCCATCAAGTTCATCCGAGGAAGGAGGGTTACGCCCACCAGGAGGAAAAACCAAGTTGATGGGATCGAAGAGTCGGGATAGGGATTTTGAAAGATAAGCAGCCTCAAAGGGTTGTAGTGAATCTTTCAAAGCTTTTTCTGGACTGTGAAAATAAAATATTTTAAAAGGCAAGTAACAGTTATAAACTATAGTTATAAGTACATTTCAAAATATATCTCTAATGAATTTAACTATTAACAAAAATTTGTTTTAAAAGATATAAGCACTTTTAGAAACATATTTCATACCTGGACACCTATTTATTTATTGATTTGGTTTTTCAAGACAGGGTTTCTCTGTATTGCTTTGGAAGTTGTCCTGGGACTCGCTCTATAGACCACACTGGCCTAGAACTCAAAAGTGATCCAACTGCCTCTGCCTCCTGAGTGCTGGGACTAAAGGCATGAACCACCAATGCCCGGCTCATACCTGGACACCTATTAAGGCTTATAGAAGCATTTTAAATGCAAATCTTAGCTATGCAGTATAGTATACACCATCACTTACTGGATTGACTGTCCCCTGAAACTAAAAGAATACTGCAGGAGCCCAATAATTCTAGCCTATTTATAGACTATCAAGCATACCCACGAGAGGTAGCCAACAGATTCCTCTCACATTAGCTCAACCCTTTTTATTCACAGCTGCTATCTTTCACAAACTTAGGGGAAGGGTACAGACGTAGGCCTTCAACAGATTCCCATTCTTGGGATATTAGCAAGAATGAGGCAAAATGAAGAAATACTTGTGAAATTCCTATAATAGCATAAATGTTCTCGAGACGAGTGTTCATTTGTTTTACAGTATTCTCCACAAAACAAAACTTGAATTTACCAAATTCTCTTCCTTTACTCTTAGCTGACCCCAGCAATTCCTGCAGGATCCCATTTAGCAGGCAATGACTGGAGCTTACAGCGTTCTTTCAATTACTAGCAAATAGTTTCAGTGTTATCAAACTGCCTTCCTGCTATGGTTAATTACCTGTCTTACCATCCCTTCACTAATGTTTCCACTCTCCTCTTCCTTAGAGAGCAAACTTCCCTTTTTGTCTTACATGTCAACCATGACAACATCTGACCTTCTCTCTGTGTATAGTCAACGGTCTCTCTTCTTGTCAACCCATAAGTCTAGAGGTCAGACTGCTCTTGGCTCTTGATGCACAATTCCACAGTTATCTCTTGATGTTTTCTCATTCAATAGGTATTCCACTCAACACATATTTACTGGGACTAGGCACCAGGCACTTTGATAAGTGGTGAGAAGATAAAAATAAATAGTACTTTACAGTCCAGTGAAAAGGGGGCTGGTGAAGTTCAACTATAAAGGTGACTTTGTATACGTTCCACACTTTCCTATCTCTTTTCATCCCACAAATATCACTAAGTCTTTATAATCTGCCAAGCATTTCATGGACCCTGTCTCTAAACTGTCCCCCAAAAACCTTATCTATCACACACTTCAACCAACATATGTAACATACTTTATGCCCAATTCTATATGACCACTAAGCTACATTTTGTTTGCTCAGATATCATTATTCTAGATTTTCATATGGATGGTGTATATGCTTTACCATAGCATGATGCAATGTTTCAAAGTTCTTCATTGGCACATTTATTAGTGCTTTATTTTCTATTATGAGTTAAGTAATATTTATGGGTAAAGCTTTTTTTCAATTATCAATATTGCAAGCAATATTTAGGCTACTTCCATCTTTTAACTAGTAGCATTTATATACAAAGGTTTGTGTGAACATGTTTTTATTTCTCCTGGTTACCGACCTAGGAGTGAAAATACTGGTCATATGGAAGTGATCTGTTTAATAGTTTGAGGAAACGTCAGACTCCTTTCCTTTTTTTTTCTTTTTAATTTTTTTTAAGACTTGCTCTCTTTGCGTGTACACGTGCACACTAAAAGAGGGCATCAGATCCCATTATAGATGGCTGTGAGCTGTCATGTGGTTGTGGTTGCTGGGAATTGAACTCAGAACCTCTTGAAGAGCAGCCAGTACTTTTAAGCTCTAAGCCACCTCTCTAGCCACTGCCTACCTCAAACTACTTTTCAAAGTCCTATGCCATTTCAGATTTCCACCAGCAGCATATAATGGCTATGGTTTCTCTACATACTTGCCAATATGTTCTGCTACCTTTCTCTGATTATAAGAATCCCATTGGGCATGAAATAGGAGTAGTCTTTTAGGTTTGGCTTATTTGGCTTATTTGCCTTTTCTTACTTGATGTTTAGTCTCTTTTTATGTGTTTACAGGCCATCTATGTTCTTTGGAGTTATGTCAATTTTGATCTTTTGTCCAATTTTAATTAGATATGGAAATATTTATATAGTCTAGCTCTCAGATATATGTATAAATATTTTGTATTGGTAACCTTGATGCACTCAAGATTTTACTTTTGAGGCAGTCATATTTATCTATCTACATATATATCATATATGCATATATATACATAGATATATTCTTTCACTGTTTGCACTTTCAATATCATATATAAAATTTTTTTTACTCTCTCTCTTGTTTTTTTTCAACATGGTTTCTTTGTGTAACAGAACTGGTTGGTTGTGCTGGAACTCATTTTGTAGACCTGACCAGCCTTGAAGTCACAGAGATCCACCTGCCTCTGCTTTCCTAATACTTGGATTAAGCATATGCACCACCACTGCCTGGCTTTTTACCATATCTTAAATCATGAAGACATGTCCTAATGTTCTCCTGTAATTATATGTTCACACTATACATTAACATTTTTAAGGAATTATTTTGTACATGAGTTTTGTTTGCATACACACACACACACACACAGACAGAGAGAAATATATGTGCATGTATATGTATGTTCCATGTATATGGCTGGTACATACAGACTTCAGAAGAAGGAATCAGATACCCTGGTACTGGAGTTATGAATGGTTATGAGCCACCCCCATGTGTGTACTATGAACTGACCTTGGGTTCTCTGTGAGCAACAAGTGCTCACAGATGCTAAGCCACCTGTTTAGGTCTTTGATCCGATTTTAGTTCACTTTTGCATACTGTCAGAAAAAAGATGCAACTTCATTTTTTTGATTATGACTATTAATTATTTGAGCAGTATCTGTCAATGACTACTTTTTTGTATTAAATGGTCAGCACACTCCTTTTTAAAGTAAAATTAACAATGCACCTCTTTCTTGTTTATAGAGACAGGGTTTCTCTATGTACCTCTGGCTGTCCTAGAACTTGTTCTTACTCTGTAGACTAGGCTGACCTCAAACTCATAGAGATCTGCCTGTCTCTGACTATACCAAGTACTGGGATTAAAGGCGTGCACCACCACCGCCCAACAATGCACCTCTTTCCACACTTTAAATTCTAATCTGTCCTTGCGCCGGTACCAAACTGTTATGATTAGAATATGAGACTCATACACTGGGAGCCAACTGCCAGCAATGGGCTTTTGGAAGCTGCATAAAACTTTTGGGCTCTGACCTGACAAATGGATGAAATCCTTGATGGCTTCATCATATGGATGGATTGCCAGGGGAAAGGGTAGAAAGTGGGTGGTGGTGTCCTGGGGAAGGAGGAGGTCATTGGGAACAAGCCCTTGAGAGCTGCCCCTTCTCTCCTCTTTGCTCCCTGGCCACTATGAGGTGGTTCACTTCCCTCCAACATGCTTTCCTCCATGGTGTCTTCATTGCTACTGCCTTGCCCGGATCCTAAAAGCACTGGAGCCATCTATTCATAGACAGAAACTTGGAAACAAAGCCTATTGTGCTTTCTGTTGTCTCTTGACCATACAGACATCTTGACTAGCAAAAAGCACAAAGCACAAAGTCAGAGTTCTGCCTTTTGGAGATGCAGTATGACTTCCACCGGTCTCTGCTACTTCCAGTCCTTCCTGAGTGCATATGCATGGACAAAATTAAGCTAAGCCAGAAACTGATAGTGGATACACTATTTTATATCATCTCCTTGTTAATGTATTATTAAATGTCTGTAGGTTTGTCTCCTCTTGAGCTATGTTTTGGCTAATCTGTCTTTTATCATAAAACAGCTACTGAAGAGACAATCTGGTCTCAACCTACTAGTCCAGTCTAAGCTGGCTATGTACTTCATTAGTCAGTATGCACAGACATAACCAGCTATCTTAGAGAAAATGCTAAAAGAGAAACAAGCAGCTAACATTACCCAGAACTTACCCAGTGTTTTTTCTTACTAAGCAAGTGACAAGAATTCACTGCTACTTTAGTCAGTGTTGTGAAAATAAACAGGATTGTAGAACTGGAGGAAAGTTAATCACTTAATCCAGTGCTTACACAGAAATGTGAAATCCTTATCAGTTTTGGTGGAAAGCTGACAGGGTAGAATTCATAGACACAATATATTGGTTTCCAATGTAGTTCTTCAAGATGGTTAAATATGTGCTTTGTGGTGACTGAAGAGATTATCTGGGATAGATTTGACTGTACTTACACTGAATGAGGAACTAACCCAGTATAAGATTTATTTCCCTGGTAGTTTCAGCACACACCAAATCACCTCAAAGGCAAAGATTGCATTTGCTTATCACCCACCTCCTCATTACCTAGCATAGTGTTAAACCCATTCTGGCAGAAGATACAATGCTCATGCCAATTTAATGTTTGCAGTACAAGTTTTGCAAAATACAACAGTCACTGATTTCAAACACTGAGAAGCTTAGTACATTCTTGATTTCTAATTTATAAGGAAAAATAGAAAATAAAATTCCTAAAATGCCAATAACCTATTCATTTACTTTAAATGAAACATACTCATAATCTGGCCTTTTCAGTATGAACATGTCTTGAGTATCATCTTCCATGTTTGGGAGGTCAACAGAGAGGTCAGCAGCTCCACTTGCACTGAAATTCCCTTGGGTATTTTGACTGTAGTGATGAAGACGCTTCCATAAGTCATTATAAAGACGTAATAGTTTAGGGTATTCACCTTCAAATGCCTGTTTCAAAAACATAGAAGCTGCCAAGCAAAATGTGTATTAGATAAATCATAAGGCAATTAGAGGTAGTAAATCAATATTTACTCTGCACATAAATATGTAACAAACCAACACTAAAGAATAAACTAAAGATATGTTTCAATGACAACTTTGAAAATGATGCCAATAATTCATTACATTTGGTACAAAGACTATATACTCCGAAATGTTATCCCCATTAAAAACAGACAAAATTTGGCCAGGTGGTAGTGGTACATGCCTTTAATCACAGCAGTTGGGAGGCAGGGGCAGGTGGATCTCTGAGTTTGAGGCTAGCCTGGTCTACAGAGACAGTTCCAGGACAGCCAGAGCTCCACAGCAAAATCCTGTCTCAAAAAACCAGAAAGATTAAAAAAAAAAGAGAGAGAAACAAAATTCCCAATTTTAGTTGAATATACCCTTCCCTTGATCATCATCTCAGTACATGTGATTATTTTGATAAATATAGAATAATATAGGTAATATTACAAATACTAATAAATGATATGTTAATAACTAATAATAAATGTAGAAGTAGTTTTTATGTTAACTTGACACAAGGAAGGGTCATCTGGGAAGAAGAAATAGTAATTGAGAAAATGCTTCTATATGATAGGCCTGTAGGGCATTTTCTTGATTGAAGATTGATCTGGCAGTGCCTAGCCCATTGTGAGTAGAGCTACTCTTGGGCGAATAAGAAAGCAAGCCACACAACAGCAAGTCAGTAAGCAGTACTCCATGGCCTCTCTGTGCAATAGTCCCTGCCCCCAGCTTCCTGCCCTGGTACCTCTCAGTGGTAGACTGTTGCTACCTGGAAATATAAAATGAAGTAAAACCATTCCTTCCTTCCTAAGCAGTCTTTGGTCATGGTGTTTTTATCACAGGAATGGAAACCCTACTAAAACATTGTTGCATATCTGAGTATTAGAATTCACTTACAAACAGAAAAACAGGCTATTCATTCCTAGTTCCATAGGAGATTTGTTATTTAGATACCTGGTCACTAGCATTACAAAAACAAGCACTAACATAGAGATAGGACTCATAAATTAGCTTAGTTACTATTGCAATATAATTTAATCATGTTAAAGACACCATTATATACAATATGGGGTAAGAGGAGCAGGCAATAATCATTTTAGGAAAAAAAAAAAAGGGGGGGGGGGAACCTCTGACTAAAAGCCTGCCCCTGCTAGGGAGATAGCTCAATCAGTAAAATACTTATACTTCAAGGATGAGGACTTGGGTTTGAATCCCAAAACACAAGTAATTGAACATAAGTCCTCATGCTTACAAGGTAAGCATTTTACTGACTAAGCTATCTCCCTGTCCCTTCCACCCCACAAGTCTTTGATATTTTTTTCTTGAATACAATCAGTTTTTGGTTTCAGTGGCATTCTATTTTCTTCTTCATTGATATGTGGTATAATTATTTTCCCTTAAGTTTATTGTAAGTTTTGTTTTCTTTCCTTTCAATCTTAACAATAGCCACTGACGACTCCTTTTCAAATATGAATATTTATGTAAGTTGTGATACAATACTATAATTTCATTCAATTCAAAATATTTTCTAATTTCTCTATTGACTTCTTTTTTTTCTCTCCTTTTTAAAAAATCTTTAGCTTAGTTAGAAGCTGATTTTTCACTCCAAATATTTAAAAAAAATTTTCCAGTTACACAATTATCTCATATATTTCTGTCTTCAAATCTGAAATAAACTATTTCTTCATTGTTTCTCATAACAAACTCATTTTTAAATATAACAATTTTAAGTTTTAGAGGGGCTCAATAATATTTACTAAAAAAATTTTCTAGATGATTTTTCAGTGGCTAGAGGAATTAAATATAAAAGAATCAAACAATCTTAAAGAAAAAAATGAAAAATGAATCAGTTCACTTTGACCTCATCCATCTCTCATCTCTTATTTTCCTGCCCATGGAGCTGGAGAGATGGCTCTGCAGTTAATATACTTGCTGTTGTCTTTATTCTGCCATTCCCAAATCCCTATCCACTTTTCTGGTTTCTATGGTTACTTCAGGATTTATACTAAATCTAAAGTTTCAAAGCTAAGATTCACAAATAAAAGAAAATATGTGATGACTGTCTTCCTTGGTCTGAATTACTTCACTCTTCCCTGAGAAGCAGCTTTTACATTATCAAAAGTGCATGCTACAAAGGGAGAAAAATAGTCAGCAGTCCACCCAATCTGCCTAAAACTTATAAACTACCATGACTGTCCCAGCAAGGTATCTCCTGATGGGGGATGTCCTTCTGTATATATGATTCTCTTATTGGTTGATGAACAGAACACTGTTTCACCAATAGCCAGTACAGGCAGGAAGGTAGGTGGGGCTAGGAGACAAGAAAGCTTGAAGAGAGGCTCCGCTAAGAGGCGCCATGTAGCTGCGAAAGGAGCCAAGACCATGTGGAAATACATAGATGTATAGTACTGAGTTAATAACTAGGAGAGAGTTAGCCAGTAAGAAGCCCTAGTCTTATAATTAGTAGAAGTCTTCGTAGGTTTATTTGGGGCTAAAGCAGCTGTGGGAACAGGTGGGACAAGAAAAACTCCAGAAACAATCTCCAATGGTACAGAGTGGCTCTTTTATCTTGGAGCTAAACAACAGCTGCATAATTGGATTAAAGGCCCCGTCAATGGGAGGAAATTCATACCTAGTATTATAAACTTAGCCAACTACCTATAGCTTGAAAGGCCATAAACCTGGAGGAGAACCAACTTTTGCCATTTTCCTTAAACCAATATAATGTCTAACTGTATTCTAAATATTTATCTTTATACCTAAAGGTTAAGTGTAGCTCTCACCATCATCAAAGCAGCTTCTTTTCACAAGCAATGGAAACTATTACAGAGATTCGCAAGTGGTCAACATGCAAAAGATAAGTGACCATGAGGTACAAAGTCCCAGCTACTTTACCTATAATACAACCATACACCTAAGGCTCAGTGAAAACTGTGGAATAGGGGACTGGAGTTTCAGCGGCAGAAGACCTGGATGACTGCTGCTTGATAGTATCTTCTAGACACGGCAAGGAGATCTCAATAATGAGTTGTCTACAAAGACCTGCATCGACATGCGGACAAAGATGAAGTAAATTTCACAAGAGTCTATCTTAACATGAAGATCACAGGCAGCCAACGGCTACTGAGAGGAGAATCTGTTTTCTCAAGAAAGAAACTCACCAATACATTATTCAATCCCTAGTGGTCAGCCTTAAACAATATTAAGTAGAACAACACTGAACTTGGTAGGATTTGAGTGTGTACAACATATATACATATATATGTAACTAATGGTACTAGAAAAGAGCTGAGAGTTCTACATCTGGATTGGCATGCAACAGGAAGAGACTGTGAGCCTCTAGGCCTGGTTTGGGCTTTTGAGATGTTAAAGCCCTTCCCCATTAGTGATACATTTCCTCCATCAATGTCATACCTTCTCTAATAGTGCCACTCCCTATGAACCTATGGGTGCCATTTTAATTCAGATGTTGTTTGACCCCATCACTTCTCTCTCTCTCTCTCTCTCTCTCTCTCTCTCTCTCTCTCTCTCTCTCACACACACACACACACACACACCAACAAAACACAGCATTAAAAAAAAAGCCTATGGTAAAATGGTTTACTTATAAGAATAAAAGATACTTTAAATAAAAATGAAGTTGAGGTTATTCTTGCAGTGTCTGTGTGTGTGTGTGGTGTCACCTTAACTTTTAAGAACTATATTGTTTACATAAGGTCATTATGTATACAGGGCATCAAAGTAGAAGTGAAAAGAAATTGTCTCAGGGGATAATGGGAGACTAATCAGAGGCAGCTGGAGGAGGAAGAAGCAGGTAGGAGGGTATGAGGAATGTTATCAAAATACATTACTGTAGTAGGAACAAGAAAAACCCAGAGACAGATATTGGAGTTCAAGCTGAAGATCAGAAAAGCAAAGCAGCCAACCACTACAGAGTTCTTACCTCTACCAAGGCTGGGTGATCCTATCCTTGGCATGACTGCAGTCTAAATACACTGAGACCTTGAGCCCCTGTCTTATATTCCTCTCCAGTGCTGGGATTAAAGATGCGCACCACCACTGCCTGGCTATACCTAGATTTGCATTCTGGTCTTTAGGCAAGATTTATTAGATCAAAAAGAAAATATCACCACACCTTACATACTTATATAAATGTCCTGATGCAACATAGGACCATGTACAATGAACGCATACCAAACTCTAAACAAAACAAATGAAAAAGTGAAAAATGCATCATTTAGCTTCACTACCATTCTACTGTTTGTGATGTTGTTACGATAAGGTGTGATGTAGCCAGGCTGGCCATAAACTCCCACTCATCTTAATTACTCCTCTCAACTGCTCTAATATTAAAAAAAAAAAAGGCAAAATAAAAAGTACTCATAATTATACACTTTATTTATTTTAATTCTTGTAAGAATTGATTTTTTTTTTTTTGTTTTTTTAAGATAAGGTCTCATTATGTGGCCTGGCTGAACTGGAACTCACTGTGCAAACTAGGTTGGCCTCACAGAAACCCACCTGCCTCTGCCTCCTGAGTGCTTGGATTAAAAGTACACATCACTATGCCTGGCTATAATGATGATTAAGAGTCAAATATTGGAAGAACAGTGGTTAACTGCATCCTTATGCTGTTAACCGCTGTGCCATCTCTCTAACCATCACCCATTTGTAAACACTAAGTTTTCATGAAGGACACAGCATCTTCCCCATTCACTCCTCTTTGTCGATCTTCCAGTTAGTATTTACTGAATCCTTGCTGTAAGGATGCCACCTTTATGAAGAATACCCCTTGTCTTACAAGGCTATATTCAGGAGATGGTGAGAGTCAGTCATGGCAGGCAAATTATTAATATGTACTATGGAGGGTAATGAACCATATTTATTTATGATGAGATACTCTAGGAGAAGTCTCAAATGAAATTCTGTTTTTATTTCAAATAGTTCACAATGATAGTGC